TTCTTTGCATCTGGCTTCCACTGGAATTTAAGCTGTTGTCATCGGACATATCACCGACTGGAAAGGTTACAGCCTGGGGCTTGTTCACCGCAGCTTTGACAGTCGTGAACTGCTTCACAATTCTACGCCCTTTTCAAAGCTGGCCCACGCTCGTGACTTGTGTGTAATTCTGTGTTCACCTCACTTGATGTAGTCGGAGCTCCGCAACACTGTGATCATACTATAATTGCGTGGCTAATAGCAATAATTACCTGTCCGTCCATGTGCATCTATGTGAGTCAAGACATAGCTACCTTGTCCACTGCATTGGCTCACTTCCCTTTTGTGTACCTCGATACACTTTTCTATAAGTACTGTAGGAGATCGCTACTCGGAAATGGTGGAGTAGCAGCAGCACCGATTTGATCCACCTCATCCGATACATTAAAGTTCTCACATTGTTTCCCTCTGCACAGGTGTCTTTATATTCAGTTATGGGCCCAGGTAGCTCTTCAAGCTACCAATCCAAACAAGATACCTGGCAACCTTCAAGGCATTGTTTTGAAGTCGCAACTTTATGGAAGAGCCAAAGATATTGTTAAGCGAATTCCTTCTGATACTATCACCGCTGATGACGGTGCACTCGCAGTTGCAAAATTGATTCACAAAGTGGACCCGCTTTCCAAAGTTTCCGAGTGCTATGAGAGATTCACTGGGTTACTGCAGACGAAAAGAGGATCAAATGAGTCTCTCAAAAACTTTGAGTCCAGATTTTTCGCCCTTGTTTGCCGCTTCAACGATACATCTGATACCCATGATGCTCTTCTACCGGATTCACTTGTCTCCTTTATGCTGTTGGCGACCTGCAACATCGATAACAACCAACGCATAGCCATACTAGCCGCTTCCGCTCCGAAACCCTCAGATGATGCAGAAAATTCAGTACTGGACAAGATATCCTATGAAAGCGTTGCCTCGATCATTCGCTCCTCTGACAATCCAACTGAATCAAGATCAAGCTACACTGAGACTCTGTATGCGCACAGTGCTCAACGCTTTCGTTCTGGTTATCGGAAGCAGCGAAAAAGACTGGCACCTCACGAGCTTGCTGACTTGAAAAGCAAATCGATATGCAGGTCCTGTGGCGTTAAAGGGCATTGGGCCAACGATAATATTTGTCATAAGTCTGGCCCAGCAGCTACAAAAAGTCCCATCAAGCATTCACATCCACGCCAACATCATCTCCCACAACATGCAGAGCAAAACGGAAACAGAACTGGAAGCGTGGCCTTTTTTATGGGCACGTTATCCCATGACATCACCGATGGGATGTTAGGTCCGTTGGTCGATGATGGAGCACCGTACAGTGGCCTAGGCATGCAACAACTTACGGATATCGCGGAACAAATCATGGTTGGATGGAATGGCAAGCTTGGGATTTTACCACCAGAAGTTCGCGACAGGCCGTTTTGGCAATACGGAAGTGGTTCGCATGCGAGTATGAGAAGACGAATTCTTGGTACAATTGTTTTGTCCATGAGATCTGATCAGAACGAGCAGGTAGACGTAACACATCTCGTTATTGAAGGCTCCTCCCAATGGGTCATTGGAAGGAATGTCACGAAATGTACCGACATTATTCATCTAAACGGTAATTACATTCGGTTCAAGCATATCTCCGGCAGACAAATCTCAACTGTGCAGCTTGAGGACCATGGGGATCACAGCTATATTCCGCTGAGCCGCTTCTTTCACAAAACATTTGCCTCCATCAACGACCCAGATACAAATGCCCTTTTTGCATACTCATCTGGGACATCCCCCGATTCATTCATTGCGTCTTCCCTGGATATGAGGCACATTCTTCAACGAGTTCATGAACATGTATGTGGACACGCCAGTTACAGTGACATGCGTACATTGCTGCAAAGGAATCAACTGTGGACTGATGAATCGCGTCTACTACTGTCATCGATATTGGAAAACTGTCCCCATTGCATCCTCACGAAACCCCCAACGGGAATGCGCCCTGTCTCTCTGTCAAGGCTGACATCAAATTTCAATGAGGCTGTATGTGTGGATCATTTTTTTCTTGACGGAACAATTATGTTTCATTTAATGGACAAAGCTACCAGATACTCTTTTGCAGCTGTGGTTCAATCAACAAAAATATCTGAGGCCATAATTCTTTTCGACACTGCTTGGATTAACATGTATTGGGCTCCAGGCATAGTTTTCGGAGATAAGGCTTTTGACACCGACCAATTTCGAAACCACTTGAAGTATCACGACATTCAGTTTGCGCCGATCCCTGCCAGGCGCCATAACAAAAACGCTATTGAGTCTAAACACCGCGTCATTAGAGACGTTTACCTGAGGCTCTCAGGCCAGCATCCCACTGTCAGTCAAGACCTACTAGCCGTTAATGCTGTAAGGGTCTCAAATGACCTGTATGGGAACGACCTAGCCTCCGCCTATGAGCTTGCACATGGCTATTCCAGACCATTCCTGACCAAGCATCGCATTGCACTTCCCGATGAAATAAGAGAGGCACACGAGGATCTGATTGCGAAAAGAAAATTAAATAAGATTATGAGATCGCATTCGATCAAAGAAAATCGCATCAATACAGGAGATATGGTCCAAGTTTATGTCAAGCATGAAAATGAGAAGCGTGGAGTATGGTCAGAGCCAAAGCCGGTTCTAAAATTTGACAATGCATCTAGAACAGTTACAGCTTCTGGAAAAGGATCACGTGTCCTTGAGGTAGCTGTCGAAGATGTCCGCCACGCTCTTGCATCCAGAACTCTCACTGCAATTATTCAGGAGGCAATGGATACTTGTGATGAACACCTGTCTGAAGCGCTTGTTGCACCTTCTCACTCCGACCAGGATGGGAATTCTCAGAAAACTGCTTGTACTTCAAATAATGATTTTTCTGAGATTAACAATCTCGGGATACATCCTGCATTCGAAGGGGACTATTATCTGACGTATGCACCCGGTGGTACTGCGATACAATCAGCCAGGATCGAACTCCTGCCAGGCACGACTCTCTCTAGTTCTATGCAAAAAGACCTTAAAACATATGAATCACGTTTCGGAAGCAAAGAATTCATGCTTCATGAGGCACAAGGTCTCCCAATTCATGTGACTCACAACGCCTACGTCACAGAAGAATCCTCATTCCTCAGTTCCTGCACAAAAGTACACCGCGCAAAAGTTTCTATGTATGCAAATGTCATTGGAAGTCATGTCCTCTACAAGATCAAGACACTGGACGACGATTCCAGGCTCTGCAAAGCACGCATTGCGCCACATGGAAATCATGACAATGAAAAGGCAACTCTCAAGACGGATTCTGCATCTTGCCCTCCGGTTGGATTCCGCTTTCTGCTGTCAATCTGTGTGATTTACCAGTGGTTTGTCTCAAAAATAGATGTGAAGAGTGCCTTTCTTCAATCTGGCAAAGCTGAAAGGGATGTTTACGTCACGCCACCACGTGAATGCCAAGACCGAAGATTTGTGTGGCTTCTGGACGTGGCAACGTATGGTTTAGTGAATGCGAACGCCAAGTGGCAGCGCCATTCTGATGACACGCTTCTGGAAATCGGACTGTGCTCACTTGGCCACATTCCACAAGTCTTCTACTTGAAGGATGAAAATCGACTGGTACTACTCGCTGTAAAAGTTGTCGATGATATCCTAGTTGGTGGATCCGAGGAACATAAGAAACGATTTATCGAGAAACTCAAAGCTGTATACACGTTAGGCACAATTGTGCATCTTCCCGGACACCTAAAGTTCTTTGGAATTTCCGTCACACAAGATGAGAATGTTGTCATCAATATTTCTAATGACGACAAAATGCAAGAAATCACTCCATACTGTCTCCCGCGTCTCCGCCGAAAAGATATTCATGAACCATTGAACTCCGTAGAGAAGCATGCATTTCAGTCTATCAACGGTTCCCTTGGATTCCTCGGTATGTGCGTCAGTCCTTTTACTGCATTTGCATCTAGCCACCTGCAACAAACTGGTGGAACCCCAACTGTGCATGATCTTGTGCGGCAAGCTGCCCAACTCAAAGACGTCAAACACCTGGGCACCACCTCCTGCTACAAAAGACCGGTCCAAAAAGGTCATATGAATCTCACATTTATTATTTTTGCTGATGCGGGTAGGCCGTCCACACATGGACAGCTAGGTTTTATCGGTGGATTGCTGATTGGTAACCTCCAGTCAGGGTCTATTGTGCACATGATAACCTGGAGTTCACATCTCTCAGCCCGACCCGTCAAGTCAATAGCATCTGCTGAAGTATTGGCATCGGGATGTGCGATAGAAGAAGGCAAGATATTATGTGACGCCTATTCCAAGCTTTTCGGAATGAAAATTCACCTGCACGTCTTGGTCGACTCCAAAGACCTGTTCAACTCTTTATCTACTTGCCGTACACCAGAAGACAAGTCAATCAGAGCCGATGTTGCACTTCTCAGATACAATTTCGAAACACAGCTCGTCAATCAAATTATTTGGATCCCCGGCTCAATGAACTTAGCCGATCCTCTCACCAAGAAGGACTCGCCGCTCAAGCAGCCGTTACAGCTTACCCTTTTTTCTGGTGAACTTCCACTTGACTTTCCACAGATGGAATGCCGAAACTCCTCTGCACCGCTTGGTTGACAAATAAGTGCGGGGGAGTGTGTAATTCTGTGTTCACCTCACTTGATGTAGTCGGTGCTCCGCAACACTGTGATCATACTATAATTGCGTGGCTAATAGCAATAATTACCTGTCCGTCCATGTACATCTATGTGAGTCAAGACATAGCTACCTTGTCCACTGCATTGGCTCACTTCCCTTTTGTGTACCTCGATACACTTTTCTATAAGTACTGTAGGAGATCGCTACTCGGAAATGGTGGAGTAGCAGCAGCACCGATTTGATCCACCTCATCCGATACATTAAAGTTCTCACATTGTTTCCCTCTGCACAGGTGTCTTTATATTCAACTTGGGCTACACTTTCAAGGTAACCCCAGTCGATGTGCTGATAGCGCTAGCTGTGGGTGCTGCCTCTGATCTCATCACCGTTCCACTTGCCGCCCTAACCCGGTTTGCTGACGTCAAGACGCCACCTCGTTTAGACGCGGCCAAAGAAGCCGCCACTTTCCTAGGCATATTCATGAACGGCGTTACCGAGGAGCTTATATTTAGGGGTATGATTCAGAATATGTTGGAGCAACGCCTAGGCCACGGGTCCATATCTGCACCACTCATCGCGTCTGTTGCCTTCGGCATTGCACACTTAGGGAAATCAAAACTTGGATATGACCCGCCAAACGTTCGATACATGGCCTCCGCCTGTGTCACCGGTGTTGCGTGTGGGTTCGTATGGCGACAAACAGGAAAAGTCACAGCTTCCGCGCTGACGCAGGCCACGTCGAATTACATTATGTGGCGCGTCACGTTAAGCAAAAAAGTTGGCCAGTAGACAGCGTTTTTTCGCAGCTAGAGTCCCTGCATAGCACTTGACAATGATTTCCACTCTTAAACTCACTGAGCACACTCTAATGCTAGTCTAGTTCGTCCCACAGGTCATCGTGCTTGTCAATATCGACCCATTCTCGGGTAGGGTTTTTCGTGTAGAGCGTGGCATTGAATTGTCCAGGTCGCCCATATGTCTCTCCATTAGCACCTTCGAAGCGAAACGGGTTACTTGACATGAGCACGCAGTTTGACTCCTCGCCGGGAAAAGCCGGAACAGAGATTCCCTTTTCCAAAAGTAGCTTTGAGGAAGATGTCGACCAGCTATAAAGTGGTAGCCCCCGGCAAACACATTTGATCCAAGCTTTGGTGCTTCTAAAGACACTAGCACTTCGGGTTTGATAAACGAATCTGCTGTCACATCCATTTTTCTTGGACCCGTCGAAAGATCCCAGCCAGATGGTACATCAAGGCTCACAATCGCAAGCCGAGTTGAGATTAGCATCTCGTAAACAGTCCAGTACTGTTGTCGAATGTCCCCCCCCATCAAAGCCAGTTCCAAGCAAGGCATCTACAGCGATGTCATAATAAAACTGTAGCGTGCTGGGAATGAAGTCGTGCAAGTCGATTCCGGCTTCATCGCAGACAGATCGGAAGTTAGCATGCTTAGATTGCTCTGCAGCATAGACCGCTGGTGCATAACCTCTCTTCTGCAGCTCTACAGCGACTTGCAATCCAATTAAGCCGTTTAAACCTGAGCCGCAAGCAATAAACACATCTGATATTTCTTCTGAACCATAGCATTGTTGTAATGCATCACAAAATCCACTTGCACAGGTTCTAGCCATAACCACAACGTCCCCACCTGAGTATGTAATAGCATCATTAATGGCTTGATTTGCCAATTCCGGGGAAATATGAGTCTGCCGGGGTTTGGAGTTATCTCGTTGCTTACTGCTTTTGTCCACTTCCATTTGCATCGATATTCTGCCTTGCGACCTTCTGTGTCCTGCGACTCTGAAGTGCTTGGCACGGGCTCTCTTGGAGTTGCACAGAAATGCGTGAATTCGTGGGTCTCGCCAATGGGCTCGAGACTTCAAACGCTGTCTTCTGAGAAGCCATGATTACACACGGAGAGATTTCTTCTAATGCGACCAGCCTGGCCTATTCCCGAAACGATTGATTGGAGGTGAGAATGATGCAAAGCAAGCAAAATGTATTCTGGAGTGCAGCCTTTCTACGGTGACGCTTGAATGCTTCAAGACTCCAGTCTCACGAAGCCTCTATGACTGTTTTCTGACTGCTGTGCACGTCCTAAAGCAGGAAATCGAAAATTGTGGCGGCAAGACGTACTTGAAGCTGAAGCCGAAAAGCTGTACTTGGTGTCCTCAACTGCTTGTGCTGCAATCTGCACTGATGTGTGCCCTGGGACTTTGCTTGGTCAATTTGAGGTCGTGGGATTACTCAAAACACCGGTCAATCTCAAAAGAATGAAAAAATTCAATTTCAATGCCACACCAACCATCTTCCGTAATTTTTCAACGAGACGAAGCCCAGTTTTGTGAGATTGCTGTGTGTCTCAAGCAGTGTACGAGGCATTCGGTTGCCAGGTGGCGGCTGGACACGCGTACCACGGGGCGGAGCGCATCCGTATACCGCCGAAGGACGGGCAAGCGAAAGGCGGGAAGGAGGGAGCGAGACAGCACGCGCGGGGAATTGGGGGTGCCAGCCACCGGGGAGACGAAGGGAAACCATAGGCCGCACGGGACTCGGGCTGGGGCAGAAAGACCGCGCAGGTCGCCGGCCGAGTGCGCGAAGGGAAAATGGCACGAGGGGGTGGCTACCGGTGGGGCAAGGGGAAGCTGGATCGAAAGGGAAATTACGGGAGGGAGGGTTGGGGATAGCCGACTCATCCCGGGGAACGTGTACTTAAGAAGCCATCCCCGAAGATAGGAAGGGGGAGGCAGCAGACTTGTGAGGAGTAAAAGAATACGGGTGGATTCCCGTCATTACAGGTCGCTCGGTGCCCCGCGGCAGAATTGCCGCAACAGCACCCCTCAATATACTTTCCTCGCGTCTTTCGCGCTCACAATGTCAAGAATGACAAGCACCTCTAGCTATGGCACTATTGGGGGGATGGCACTATATAAAGGAGGCTCAAATACATATATTTCGGGACAAAGCACACTGCTAACACAAACACAACAAAGCCTGTATAACACAACTAAATAACTAGCACTATATAGAGGGAAGCACTACTAAAGTAGGCACTATTGAGCAACCCCCCCTGTAGCATATAATGGCTGTCGCGCGACAAGATTTACAAAAGCTGTATGGCTGGCCAGCCATACTGGAACTAGATTAATTTTTGTTAATTTTTTAGAGGTTGATTCTAGTATGGGTAGCCACCCATACAGCTTTTGTAAATCTTGTCGCGCGACAAACACATCACACTTGTGGACGTAAATGCAATGTATTACACGTGTGGATTGATATGCAATGTTTTACACGTGGCGACCAAAATGCAATGTATTACACGTGGTGACCAAAACGCAATGTTTTACACGTGCGAGAAGCTGGTGGATGATGATTGGCCGATTATGATACGGAATCGTATACAGTGCCTCCTACGATATAGTTCTATAGCGTGACATACCTCTAGCTATAGCACTATTGGGAGGTTGGCACTATAGAAAGGAGGCTCAAATACATATATTTCGGGACAAAGCACACTGCTAACACAAACACAACAAAGCCTGTATAACACAACTAAATAACTTCATCCTTTGAGTATTGAACCATGCCGGATGATACACGTGAGCGTATGATAACCTGTGCCAGAGAGTGAGCCATAGCACTATATAGAGGGAAACACTACTAAAGTAGGCACTATTGAGCGACCCTGTAATATGTAATGGCTGTCGCGCGACAAGATTTACAAAAGCTGTATGGCTGGCCAGCCATACTGGAACTAGATTAATTTTTGTTAATTTTTTTAGAGGTTGATTCTAGTATGGGTAGCCACCCATACAGCTTTTGTAGATCTTGTCGCGCGACAAACACATCACACGTGTGGACGTAAATGCAATGTATTACACGTGTGGATCGATATGCAATGTTTTACACGTGGCGTCAACCTTGAAATCAAAACTCTCACACTGACCGTGTGCATTTTGTGATGGCAGTGTGCATTTTGTGATGGCTTTGTGTGAGTTGTGTGGGGGCATCACGAAGATCACATATAAAATGCTCTCCATCTCAAATGGCAAACAAACTGAACAACGTCACACACAAAAATATCTCCCTTTCCAGCCCTCTACGGCTAATTTCCAGAGACACTTTCCCTTCCCTTCGTGTTCGCAACTGCGTAAGTTGAACCGGAATGTACTGCACGAGAAGGTCAGTGGGACCCAAACCTACTGCGTACTCTGTATTGGGGTCAAAAGACGGACAAAAGACGGGCCCAAGGCACTTAGAAAGGGCTCGCGCCAGGTGCAGTGGTGTTCTACATGTAGGCAAGCTATCTGCTGCAGCTGCCGGACGGTGTGGCATTCTCGCCCTACACTGAAGCGACATGGGCCCTCTCCTGTCCATGAGAGGGAGTTTGACTCTGGGCGACGCACTTTTCAACGAATAAGGCAGGCTTCACAAGCCCGAGAGTGAAGGCCGTAAAATGTCTGTAGAACAAGGCTATCAGCTATGCTTTTTAAATGGGTTTGTGATGGTTCGTTGATGTTGGAGATGACTGTGAGACAATGGTGTGAGAGTCACAAAACAATTTGTGTGTGAATCACAAAACAGTCAACAAAAGAGCACTTCAAGATGTTGACGTCACAAAAATAAAGTGATTCTAGTGGTGACAGTGATTCACAGAGGAAGGGCACTGATGAGGACGACATCCAAGAGTAGGTACTGGGTAATTCATACTTTCAATAGCGAGAACAGTATCATCATCACTCTGTAGTGACACTTCTATCTTCATTGCACAATTAAATCTAAAGCAACTATGATTAAAAGAACAGTAATTCAATGACACATGACTGACTTTCAAAGCAATCCGGACTGGATGATGTCGGTACCTTTGGAGCCCATACCCAGCTGTTCACTTGCACGTCTAAGTCCCATGGTATTTAGATGCTGCACAGAGCCGTGCATCTTTAAATGTGACCGTTACAAAAATATCGATTTCACAAAAAACACATATGTCTATATACTGACTACGTTCCAATGGTTACCCCCAACTCTTTAGTCTTCGGGAAATATTTCAAACAAACTTCTCAAGTATCACTTTCCAAGGGAAATTAACAGAGGACGATACCATCCACCAGTTGATAATGGTATCAGATCTTTTCAATGGCCTCCAATTTGGGAGTGATATAGAGGTCTACTATACCTTGGAGAATGAAGAAGAAAGCAAAGCATGGTTCCCAGCAACAGTCATTAGTCTCAACTACCTTCATGATGGTCGTCGAGAGGTGCTCAAAGGGACCATTCAATACAAGGCAGCGTTTGGATTCAGGGCATGTAAAAGCAAGGTTACTTTCAAGGAGGGAAACGAGTTTGTACAAGATGGACAAAAGTTTAGCTGGAGACTCAAAGATACATCCGTGCGATTGGATAACAGCGCAAGCTCAGACGTGGCAAGCGCATCGATGGATGCAGATGATATGGACTATGCTCCAGGTAGTGCCATG